GGGGAGCTCTGGCCGGGCGAAGGAGCTCGTGTGTCTGCGGCGTGCCTAGCGGGGTCTGCCGGGGCTGCCCTTTCGGGCTCGCTCCGGTGCGGTGGAAGGAGTGTCCGCCCGTCAGCGCGCGTGTGGATTTGTAGTATAGCGCTTTGGGCCACGGTCGTTTCGCCTCGAAACGAGAGGAGGGCCCTGCCGAGAGTTCGGAGGAGGTCTTCAGCCGCACTTAGATTGGGTACGGTTTGAGCATCTGGGAAATCTGTAGGCTCAAATGCTCTAGATGCCGTTTATTGGTAATGTTCTGCCGAAGCTTCATTTGATTTTGAGAGAAAAGTTATGGGGATTTTAGCATGGACGAAGTTCGAAGCGTTTTTGAAGTAAAGCCTCGCCTGAGTGTGCATAGTTACTTGTGGAGCCTGCATTTCCTACGTGTGTTTGAATGAGTGTAGTTTTTGTGAATTAGTAGCTTGTTCACCGAGAGAACTGACAAAAAGAGAAGAGAGGTTATTCTGTTCTGTAGAACACCAGCAATCGGTTCAGGTGTTATTTACGGCGTATAGTACCGGGTTTTGAGGTGAAACTTCTTTACCGACTCGAGACTCTTCCTTACAGAATATAAATGAATATGTAGCCGCATTAATTGCACTGAAGCAAAAAATGATTGATGGAGAGTAAGTACAATTGCACAAGTGGGGGTTTTTGTTTGGTTTTTGTTGCTCTTAAGTTCTTAAAGCAATGGAGAAAGTATATTTTGTGGTATGTAGATATTTGTTAATACACAAAACAAGTCCTCCTCAAAATGAAAGCAATATCTTCACAAACAGGTCTGAAGTCTAGACTGTAAGATTTATTAATTTATGCCCTAAGCCATCTATGTGTATTGGTAGTAAAACAGGGCTACTTTGTGTAGCTGTAATATCTCATATATTATTACAAAAACTAGCAGAGGCAGCTATTTGAAGAGATTTATTTCCTTTTATCTGTTATGAAGAATGTAGTATGAGAAGTAAAAGCACAGGTGCATACAAACCTTTCCAACAGAATTTAGTCAGAGCATTAAGGTGTAAAATGGTGCTTGGCCTGACTTTTCACATTCTGGTATTTAACCCAAACATCAGTCAGAACGGTAAGGTTTTAAAATGCCTCTTATCCTTTGCTTCCTATTCTTCTCAGTAGCCATCAGCATATGATTGTATGGAATGATGTACTGGGATAAGTTATGTATACCTCTGTACTATGGTCTAATATCCTTGCTCTGTCTTCTAATTGTAATGGTTTATTTTTCATCTACCCTTTCCCAGGTATGTGTCAATCCAGCTATAGAGAACGTAAATACCAGTCCTGCATTTTGTTTAGGAGACTCCTCACTGTCTTACCGGGGACCCTTTTCTGCAAAGCTCCTTTACTTTTTGTCTACAGATTCCTTTTCCTACCTCAAAACTTAGTGTCCCTTGCCAGTGCATACATTTCTTATGGGAATTACCTCTCCTTTAACTACTTGGAGCTCATCCACTTTCTAATTTTGCCTTACTTGATTACTTTTAACTGGTGCAAGAGAAAATCATGTAGCCCTCTCTATACGGGAGTTAACTGCCATGGGATTTCTCTTTCTTGTCTTCTCTCCATTCTTAAAAGACATAACATTTGAGGAAAGGATAGAATAGTTTTCTCTGATGCTGTCCCATGCTGTATACCTTGGATCAGTACGTGTCACCCTCTTATGACTTATAGGAGACTAGGGTAAAGATTAAAGCCTTCTACAATCTTTTGAACTGTTTTTTTAATGTGAATGTGCTCTTTTCCTAGGAAAACATTCTTTTAAGTTTCGGAACTAGGATATGATTTTGTGAATATATGTATGTTTTTATTATATCCATATCACATCCTTTACCTTTCTTTAAAGCTGCAAGTACTTAATGGCTACACATTTGTGTGATTGCCACTGATTTGTTTTGTTTTTTTTTTTTCTCTATTTTAAAGCAGCCTGATTCGATGTTTGAACAGCTTAATGAAACAAAAGTGTTATATTGACTACAATCAGAAAATGCAAAACAACCTTACACTTTCTGTATTTATCTATAAAGCAAAAGGAAAGATATCCTAAGACATTATTGTTAAAATCAGGTGAGAAAATGAGTAATGTCTGTCTTTTTTCTTGCAGTCACTTGCTGACAGAGTATCAACAGAAATGCACTGATATCCTTTACGTTTCTACTATTGTTATTACAGAATTAGTGTGTTAACATATCTTATAAAAAGGCTTGAGGCTTTTTAGTTAAGATTTACGTTAAGAGATGATGCCTCCAGTATAGAACAGACTAGATTGTAAGGAAAATAGGGCTTTGGAATTAAAACTATCCACTTAAGATCCATCTGTGTCTAATATATGGCTTAATATGGACTACTTGAAATCTGCATTGCTGAGAGTGACTTAAGGTTTTTTTTATGTAACAGAAGAAGCTCCACTTGTTCACTTCAAGCATATTGAAATGTTTCAATTAAACATTTGAGTCTGCAAGTCCTATGGTTTTTGGATTGAAGTCTTTATTGAATAATTCTTTGCAAATGGATGTTTGATAAACTTCTTTAATTTCTACCTTAACATGAGATTACAGCTTCAGTTTGCTGAACGGTAAGTTTGATTTAAATTGATTGGTAAAGATGCTGTGTTCTCCAGAGCTCAGACACTTTTAGGAATCTGATGTTACAACACCAGCAGCCTTGGGTCTAGGCTTTTAATATGGTCCTTTCTTCTGCTGTGCTTCCTAAGCCACAGTTAGCAAAGATACACTTGATGAGGAGAGAAGTTTGCCCGTGTGCAAGACCGGTGTGAAATTCTTCCTTGGCACTGTTACCTATGAGCCTAAAGTGTTCAAGTGGAAATGTGGAGCTCATCTTTTGGTGGAGATTAAATGTGAGCCTTTTTAGGGGTAGCCATGTTTGTACAAAGCATTTTGTCTTAGAGTTGTACCTGTGTGCTGTTGCTTACTCTGCTTGCTTAGAGGAAGGGGCAGCATGTGATTTTTTTACAGACTCCATCCTGCCTGCTGACAAATCCTGCAGTTGGGATCTGCTCTTATTTCACAGCACTGCATACGTAGAGTCACTTTCCTGGCACTTCAGTGTAGGCCAATGGACAGTACTCCTGTATGGTACATGCCATCTACTTGCATCTGAGCTTTAGGCTCAGTTTAATGTTTTTAAATTAGATCTTGAATTTTCTTTGAATATAAAATTTTGGTTGGAAACATTAGAACACTTAAGACTCTTAAGGCTCTGGATACCTGTCACAGCATTTTTCTATAGGGGAAAGCAAAATACTTAGACACTTGTCTGAAGAATCAGAACATTGAGTTTGAAAGCATGCATGGTTTTTGGCAACTCTTTTCTTTAATGACACTTGCCATTTTAGAGAGATCTTTGCTCTTCGTTGCCAAGTGGAGCAGATGCTGCAGAAAATCCTGCCTCTGGAAAAGTGCCAGGAAGAGCTGGGTTCCTTGAAAGCAGAGTTGGAAGAGAAAAAGGTATGCCTGTAAGACTTAAATAGCTTGCACTTTTTGTGTTGAAGGAAATGTATATATTTAATGCTCATCTTAGTGAAGCCAGCTTTAATGAGCCCCGTTGTTATTTCCAGCTCATTGGAAGAAACAGCTCTAGTTTTAGGTGAAATTAATTGGCAGCAGGTTTCAGATAAGAACTACAAAAGCCTGAACTTTTTGCCTTTGATTATTTTTTTTTTTTTTCTCAGATTACTTGGAGTTTATATTTCCTTATTTAGGAAGGAAGGAAATACATTCAAATTCCTTTGGTTTTCTGTTCTGATCTTCCTAGATTACAGGAATATCTATGATTTGTGCTACTGAAAAAATGCAAAGAGAGTCTGTGCAGAATAGGGTTTTGTTTCTGTTAGCATTTTGAACATACACTTTTACATTGTTTATGTAAAGATTTATTCCTAATTTCTATCCCATCTCTTAGCTGAGATTAGTCTACAGAAGAAAAGCTTTTAGCTGTTCAAATTGCCTAAATATATGTATTTTCTAGACATTAATTATTATTTCTGCAAAGTATACACCACCTTCTTTCGTGTAGTTTTTTTCCGTGCTGGTACAAGAGAGGATATTGAAATTTGTCTTGTTGCTGTACATAGTTTTTCTTCTATGTTAGAACTGTTGTGTTTTGTGTGGGTTTTTTTCCTTTTTTTTTAAATCCTCTTTCCTCAGGAAGCATTAGTAGCTGATGTCTTGATGACACTTTTTCAGAAGAGCAGGATTATATGTGTGGTGTATAATAGTTGTGCTCTTGATTTCAGCTTTAAGTTCCTGTCCAGATAGGTGATGGATGCACATACTCAACAGATACAGAAAACCCAAAACAATCTGTAACTTTTGCCGTTAAAGTAACAACTTGCTTGTTTTCCCACGGAGTATACTTTTTTTGGCTATGTACTCTTATTGTTAGAATAGGAAAAGTGTCTGCCATCTTTTTTTTTTTTTTTTTTCCCCCCCCCCTCACTAAGGACCCATTTTAACTGTGCTTTCCTTCTCCACAGAGTTCTCTCAAGATTTATCGGGAGAGTCAACTGGAATATATTAAAATTAAAGAAGAAATAGTAAACAGTGATGCTGTGTGAGTGATGCTTCATTTTTCTCACAATCTTTCTTTCCCCCCTTTTACCTCTTCCAGAACTTGGTCTTGTACCTTACCTACTTATGCTTTCCATTTTGCTAAAATTTTTAATGCTTATGGATTCTTAGAGCAGGGAGTTGAGGAAAGAATGGTCTTAAATCTTGTAGCAAACACTCTGGAAGGTAGTATTAGTTAAATTATTATCCTGCCTTGAAGTGACTTTTGGTTGGTTAAAGCTTTCTAAGAACAGGGTGAGGCTGGAGAAGCTGCGCTTTCCCCAGTTTTAAGTGGTTGTTAGTCTTGGCTTTTTGTTATCGCTGTCCGTTTCTGTGGTGCTGATAAGTCTCTGAGGCCAGTGTGTAAATGATGTTGCTGAAGTGATCTGCACTTGAATTCAGTCCTTAAAATAATTAAAGACAGCTTAGTAGGCCCTGAACTGTCAACCATGTTTGGAAGTGGACAGAAGGGTTTGGGCACCAAAAATGCAGAAGCCATTTCTGTTGCCATAGGACATAACATTGTGAAGCTGTGCCTTGGGAACTCACCAAGTTTGTTCTTCTGGTAACCAGCTGCTCAAAGGTTTCCTTGCCTGAAGCATATGTGTGCCTTTGCATGTCTTAATTATTAAAGAGCTCTCTAATGAATATGTCTAACTGCTTTTTAACCTTGTTACACTCCTAGCTTCTAAATCACCTGTACCCCATGCACCAGTATATGCTGGGGGCCACTCAGCTGGAAAGCAGCTTGGCAGGAAAGGACCCAAGGGTCCTGCTGGGCACCAAGCTGGACACGAGCCAGTGATGTACACTTATGGCAAAGAAGATTGCTGGTAACCTGGTCTGGCAAAAATAGCATTAGGCAAAGTTGCATTTCCAATAGGCTGAAGGAGTTGCTCCTTCCCCCCTTCTCAGCACTTTTGAGGCCACACCTGAAGCACTGTGTCCAGTTCTGGGCTCCCCAGTACAAGAGACATAGACATATTGGAGAGAGTCCAGTGGAGGGGCACAAAGATGATTAAGGGACTGGAGAATCTGTCCCCTTGAGGAACAGCTGAGACCTCTGGGCTCTTTAGTCCAGAGAAGAGAAGGCTCAGGGGTGATATTATCAATGTGCCTAAATACCTGAAGGGAGGGTGTAAAGAAGGAGCCGGGTGTCTTTCCGTGGTACCCAGTGAAAGGACAAGAGGCAGCAGGCACAAACTGAAACACAGGAAACACTCTTTACTGTGAGGGTGACTGAGCACTGGGACAGGTTGCCCAAGGAGGTTATGGACTCTCCATCCTCGGAGATGTTCGGAAGCCATCTGGGCATGTTCCTGGGCAGTAAGTTCTAGGTGGCCCTGCTTGAGCAGGGTGAGTTGGACAAGATGACTTGCAGAGACCACTTCCAACCTCAACCATTCTGTGATGATACAGCTTTTTATCACTTTGACACTGAGGCCATTTTAAGCAGTAGGTCACTTAACTTCTGTAATTTTAGAGCTGAATTTCGTCAGAAGCAAAATTCTAGTGGACTGTTGATAAAATGAATGTTAATCTATAGTTGCTGTAAAATAATTTAGGTCAAAAAATTACCTCTTAAGTCCTTTGGTCCAATCTGTCATTCAGAGCAAATGTCAGTTAGGTTGCTCTGGCCCTTGTCTAGTTGAGTTTTGAATATTTACAAGGATCACAATTCCCCAATTCTGAGCTTATAACAAGCATGATAACTTGAGACAAATACACATGTCCACTGTGAAGAAGGTTGTAGGTATGAAATCACTCCTACAGACCAGGTTTGAAAGAAGTACTCAAGATGTTAGGCTGTTAAAGGAGAAGGTTTGCTCATTTAAATTAAAAGATCACATTCTCTCTAAGGATGAAGTAACAGTTCTTGTTTGTATTTTTCAACTTTTTAGTATTACAAATACAACCACATTATGTTTTTTTGTAGTTTGGGTAGATGATAATACTTCTGAATGCAGCTGCTGTTAGCATAGCTTTCTGTCAGCTGCAGTTGTATGTGCATCTTAGAGATCAGGTAAGAGCTCGAGTTGCATGCCATAAGAGGAGTTCTGTGCAAATGCATCATCTACAACCTTGTTTTTTGTGAATTACTAGATTTAGTATCTACTTGTTTTCTTTATTAATGTAATTGCAAATGTTGAAATAAGTCAGCATAATTCTGCACCTGTAAAAGTAACTACTTTGTCTGTAAACATAATTGCAGTGATAAATGTTGGCATTTAGTGTCTGCCTCAGGTACTGGTTATTTGTATAATAAAGTTTCTGTCTTAAGTTGAAAGGGACCTACAAGGATCATTGGGTCCAACTCCCTGCTCCTTGCAGGCCTACCTAAAACTGAACTGTATGACTAAGAGGCTTGTTCATATGCTCCTTGAACTCTGAGAGGCTTGGTACCCTACTTCCCTGGGGAGCCTATTTCAGGGACTGACCATACTCTTGGTGAAGAACCTTTTCCTAATGTCCAGTCTGAAGTTCTGCTGATGCAGCTTCTTTGCATTTCCTTTTGTCCTGTCACCAAAGAGAGGACATTGGTACCAGAGAGGACTTCAGGTCACCAGAGGGCATCAGCACTTCCCTGTCTGCTAAGTTGAGGTCGTCCCTCAGCCTTCTATTCTTTAGGCTGAACAAACTAGGTGACCTCAGCAGCTCCTCATAAACCTTGCCCTTTCACCATCTCGGTCATCCTCCGCTAGACACACTCTAATAGTTTGGTGTTCTTCTCATGTTGAGGCACCCAAAACTGCACGTAGTACTCGAGGTAGTGCAATACCAGTTCAGCGTAGAGTGGGACAGTCACCTCTGTTGACAGCGGTGCTGTGCTTGATGTGCCCCAGGGCATGGTTGGTCCCTTTGGCTGGCATGTAGCACTGTTGACTCATATTCAACTTAGCATCAACCCAGACACCCGGATCTCTTTGCGGGGCTGCTCTCCAGCCTCATTCCCCAGTTTGACCATAGAACGAGGATTGCCCCATCTCAGGTTGAGTGTATGGCACTTGCTCTTAAATTTTGTACAGTTGGCAATTGCCAACTGTCCAGATCTCTCTGTAAGGCCTCTCTGCTCTTGAGGGAGTCTTACAGTTCCTCCTGATTTTGTATTGCCACTTAATTTACATGTTTGACTCCTGAGTACAGATCATTTGTACAAACATTAAAAGAGCACTGGCTCTAACATTGGGCCCTGGAGAACCACTGGTGACTGGCCACCAGCCTGATGTAACCCTCTGAGCTAGAACTCTTTGAGCCTGACCTGTCATCCAGCTGCTCACCCAACGTGTTATAGATCTGTCTAGCTGTATGCTGTATGCTTTCTCCAGGATACTGTGAGAGGCAGTATCAAAAGCTCTGCTCAAGTAAAAAAAACAACCAAACAAAAAACCAGACAAACAAACAAAAAAACCCAGACCACATCTGCTGGCCTGTTTTAGTCAGCCAGTTGGGTGGCATTGTCATACAAGCATACTGGGATTTAACAGAAGGAAATAATAGAAGTGTTAACATTTTTTGGTTTATTTTTCCAGTTCTGTGTCTGTTTTATTTATAAGGTAGGGTTGAAAATGCTGAAGTCAAAATTGTTCAGGATGCATAATTTTTGGGGTTTGGACTTTGCTTTAGTAAACACCTGGATATTCCTGATTATCTCATTGCTTAGGTCTTACTGATTGTAAGCAACCTTGTTTGTTTTAAGGAGTAAAACTAACCTTACATTGTAGAGATGCTTTGTGCAGTTTTCTTAGGTTTTGTTGGTAACTCCAGGTTGTAGCTAAAGATGTGTCTATGCACCTGGATTAGTGGGCAGACTCTCTTAAGAGAAACTCCGCCTCTGTAACAGGTAGAGCTGTTTGTGTGAGAATGCCAGCAACGTGCCACTGTTGTCAGTTTTCAACTTTAGGGGCACTTTGATCTCACAGGGCCTGGGTCTAGGAGGTGTATTTTCTTTGGAATAGATAGATTTTTATTTTTTTTTCTCTAGCTTTTCATGCAACATAATTCGATACAGAAATGATCTATTAATGGCTTCTTTTTAACAGGAGAAAGAAACTGGAAACAAAAGTGAAGAAACTTGAAGGTAACTTCCTATGTTTTATTACCATGCTGTTGTCCTTCTCCATCTCTTGATTCCCTTTTTATCCAAAGCAGTAAGTGCAGCTTTCTAACTTAGAGGCCCCGAGGAGCAATGCTGGGCAGTACTGTGTGTGGTGCTTAGGCTCTGAATTACATCAGCCCTCCTGAAAAATGTTTTCTATTGAGAGTCTTAGGCACATGAGGTAAATGAAGTGAAAGAAAACTTCTGGTCATAAAAACTTCAAAAGATAGGAGTCTGCCTAGCCTGTCCAGGCCATCTGATTCACTTCATGACTGTCTGGGTGGTGAAAGAGCTTTTCCTTATAGCCATTTAGAAACTCTCTGGCTTAAATTTTTTTGATGTCACTTGTCCTCCTACCATGTGCCACTGAATAGTCTAGTTCCATCTTCTTTGTACCTCCTTGTAGGTACAGGAAAGCTGTTCTTGGATCCCTTGTAAGGCACTTTTTTTTTTTCTCCTCTCCAGCTAATTAAGCCTGTTTTCTTAGGATGTGTGCTCCAGCCTTCTAGTAATCTGGGCAGGATTCTTCTAGTCATGTTTATAGTCATACTTAAATATGTAGAGATCTTGACATGTTTTCTGATTTTTAAACATTCTGGCATTTGGTTTTTGCCTTGGTTTGGTTTTAAGTAAAGATAAAGTGCTTTTCTCATTGTGCTATATTTTTCTTATCTTGCTAGTAGAGTGTGGATGTGCATAAAGCATTCTGATACTTAACTTTCTCTACTAGTAGTTGGCAAGGCAAATACTCATTCATGGCACACAAGTTGTACTTATCACAGTTTAAAGTGCAACAAACTGGGTGACTTGTAGCCTAGTGTTAGATAAACCCCAAACCCTGCTGTAAAATACAGGTACAGAGTGTTTATTTTGATGAGCATTTTGGAGTTCCATTATGTGGCAGCAAGGTTTTTATACTCTCTCCCCCCAAAACTCAAATTCTGGCAGAGCTGCAACAAAATACTGTGAGATGGTTTGTATTAGGTCCAATCTGTGTGACATAGCACCTCATTCTTATTTTTTTCCCCCCTTTTTTCACTTTGTGTGTATTTTTCTACAGTACAGTATTGTTATAACATGACCCACTTTTCATTCTTGCACATAATTGAGGAAAATGATGTATTTCAGTAGTTCAGAACAGTAATTGCAATGGAAGATAACATACTTGTGTGCATGAGTTGTTGTCTCAATTGGCCAAAATATAACTCCAATAGATTTGTATTGCGCACTGGTTTTTTTCCTGGTAATTTAACTTGCAAACTGATTACCAACACTACTTAAATTGGTTGTCTTTTATATTGTAGTTTGTAACCTGAATTTTGATTCTTTTTCTTGAAGAGGCTGCAACAAAGCATACACAGGACATCAAACAACTGAAAACTGAGAAGAAAAGGCTTGAAAAGGAGCTGAAGAAGGCGCAAGTAAGACTTTCCTGGTCTTTTCAATGAAGCTTCTTTTAGTATTTCTGGGTAAAAAAGGGAAACTACTAGTAATAGAGATACTGAAATAGTAAAATGACATTTGTTTGGTATATTTAGTAACTAAACATAGCAATTCACCTTAAGAGAGAAATTTTCCAACTGAAGTGTGACCTTTGTTGATTTAGATTTCATGTTAATTAAGAGTAGATGCTCTATGAGCTATGTATGGCATGAAAAATTAACATTATATCATTTTAACAGGGAAAACTTGATGGTGTATTTCAAGAGAACTGCAGAAAAGGTAAGAATTCACCTTTGCCCTAAGGTGTACGTGTGGTATTGTCCTGTTTGAACATTTCCTTTTCCCCTCTCTTTCTAGTAGTTAAGCATGCGGAGACACAGAGTTCAAATGAAGATCTTAAAACAGATATAGACAAAGGTAAGGGTTTTTGCAAGACCATTCTCTGTGCAGAACCAACCACTGTTAGTTTATTGCCACTGCACTGGGGTTGCATTTCTGCAAACGGAGGGTGCTGACAGTAATGCTGTAAGAGCATTTGTGATTGACAGGAATATGTTACACTGATGAAGGACTGATGTAATACATCACTATTTTCAGATTTGCAGTAAGGGAAATCATTTGATTCATTAAAATTCTTGTGTCTGAAAGCAATTGATAGCAATTATGAAACAGAATGTTTCGCTGAGAAAACATACAAGCACTGAGAAGAATACAAACAATCCCATGATCTTTCAAGCTCACAGAAATCATAAAGGATGCAGGCAAAGCAAAAGACACAAGACAGGAGCTCAGTCTCCTACAATTTGTATGTGAGGCTGTGTAAAACAAGTGGAAATCCAGGCTGTGTAGTAGTTGCCTATTGATGTTTTTTTCCCTGGTGATTTAAAATTCCTGCTGCAAATTATCTGAATCTAACTGTGCAATGGAGCAATGCAATCCTTCTAAACCTCCTCTAAAGTACTAAGGCCAGACTTTACACAAATTTATTTTTACATTTCTGCAGTCTTTTAAAATGCTGGTATTACTGCTGAATTGTTCGGAAGTTCTGAAGGCAATTTTTGGGCAAAAGAAGAACTTGCCTGTTCTTTTTCTTGCTTTGCAATGTTTGTATATAAAGTTTGTTGCCAAAATTAAACTTTTCTGAAAAAAAAAAGTTAGACCTGGTTAGTTCTTGTGTGTTTTGCCATAGTTTTATTACCTTCTTGGCTGTACTAAATTGATGCCAGATTTCATCCTTTAGTTTTTAACTAATGACAAAATGGGAGAATTAAGATCTGAGCTCTAATTTGAGCTTCAAATAGCAGCAAGGATTTATTGCCAATGAGAAATTGTTAGTGTTGTTAATAGCTGTCATGCAGAATTTGGCTGGTTTTCCTCTTACATGCTGAGGTGGTTTTAGTATGTCTCTTCATAAAATAATAGCAGTTTGCTGTGGTTTTTGATTATGGAACTGGCACAAAACCAATAGTCTCAGTACCCGATTGTTGGATGTGATGATAGGTTGGGTGTAAGTAGGTGAAGTGCTTGTGTATTTTGAGTTTTCTGTCTGTTTCTCCTTCTCCACCTGCCCATCTGGTTCTGGAACTAGGCTGTTTGGCATTGCCTAGCAGTGGTGCTGTTAGGACTTCAGACAATGTCTACTAATGTGGCCTGATAATTAGTTCACATAGTGTGCTGCTACTCCCTGGTAAGACTAAGATGACTTACTACTGTGTGGTCATAAAGAAAGAATGTGATATAAATATTTTCTTCCTAAAAGATTTCTTCCCCCATTTATGTTCATGTCACTCAAGTTGTCTTTTAGAAAGATGTTTAATTTTACTAATGCTGTATTCAAATCTGCTTCTACATTTTACTCTGGGGCCTGCTACATTTTTTGCTGCACTCACTATAGAAAGGAAAAGCAAAAGCATTCTACAAGTTTCCTTTCAATCTGCTGTGTGGCTGTGGCCAATACAGGATCCATTCCCTCAGTGGCATCTAGAATTTTTCTTTCTTTGAAGCTAAAATGCCTTAATTTTTGTTGTGGTTACTTCTGTATTTTGTTGTAGGCGTGTCTAGGTGCTGAGTAAAAATAAATAAACATAAGTTCTTAGCTTTTTGAGTAGCTGAGGTGCTCCTCAATTTATAAAAATATTTATTTTAACAGAAAAAATAAAACTCTTGTTAGAAGAACTCTGGATGTGCATAGATAGTGCAACAGGAAAAAGAGAGAATCAGGAAGATGATCCTGTCTTGGGTAAGATGGCATGAAAAGTCTCAAAATTTTCTTGAAGCTGTCTCTTTTTCTGACCAAAAATAAGTATTGTTACGTTTTTTCAGCTTCTATTAAGGATAAGACATGGCCAGAAAAAAGATTGACTATTACAGAAGGTAGGTTCCAGTAAACGTGAATTTATTAATATGCAAGTGCATTAATTTTGTCTTGCTGAGATATCATCAGCTTGGGTACTGTTTGTGTTAACGCTTTTTGGACAGACTTAAATATTTCCTTGGTGATTGCCTGGTCAAGTACATATGTCATTAGAATATTTGCAAATAATTGCAAATACTAGTTTGGACAGCCATATTTATGTGAATGCTCTTCTAAATAAAAGGTGTTGTGATCTGCTGTTGAAATTGAGAAATGAAGTTCTTTTACTGTCGGCTGGTTTGACTATTTCTAAGTAGTCAAAACTCAGCTGTCACGTTTATACTTTAGATATTGTGTCTTTATAAACTCTGCAGTATATAATGGGAATTACAAGATGGAAGTGTTGATTTTAGTCTGAAACACATAGTAACATAGTTAGACTGTAGAATGTAAGCAGCATTTCTTTATTCATACCTGTCTGAATAATCATGCGTAACAGTGCATCCATTTTCATTTGTGATACAGAGAAGCAAAATGTAAAATTTGGTGATGGCTTTAATTTTGTAACATAAGAGTCAGTATAATAAAAAATAATCTAAGTAGTTATCCACATGCACATTCACAGCAAACTTCAACTCTTTTAGTTTCACATAACAGATGTCATTTTCATTCAGCCTTCAAAATTAACAGGTGCCTTGAAACTGCATTAATATTTCTGTAGCTGTCTTTCCAGGGTGTGCTTATTAATATTTCTCTTTTTTAAAATTTTCTCTACTGCTTTGGCTTTCTGTAACTCAAGCTGTAGAGATACTATCTGGGATAAGTACCTTGCCTTATCAAGAGCTTTGAAGGTGAACTGTTATCCTGTCTCTCCACCCTGTGAAGTCTGAAAATTTGCTACCAGCATAGACTCCAGTGAGTCTAGGCAGCAGTGTAAAGGTTTGAAGTTGTGCGGAGTAGATTCCAGGTTGTAGATTTGAGGACAAAACAATAATTTTGGTAAGTGACA